AGTGTATAGGATCCAAAAAGTGTTGGCCATAAAGTGTATAGGATCCAAAAAGTGTTGGCCATAAAGTGTATAGGATCCATAAGTGAAAAGGCCTAAGTGAAACCATGGTGTAATAATAAAAGCAATTTTTAAAAAGGGAAACGTGTTAAGGAGGCCTTTGTTACAAAAGCTTTGAAATTGACGAATTTCAGGCTGATAAATGACAAAAGTATAAAGAACAACATCAGTTATATTCGCTTAACAAAGTAATCTTGAAAGTTATTCTTCTGTATCTTTCTGCCTGTGTGTGCGCGTCTGTGTGAAAGGAACCCCCCCGCCCTCGCTGCTGCTGAGCTGCTGCTCTGATTTAAAGGGGAGCTACTGCTTTAGGAATTTGGCTTTTCATAGTAGTTATTCCGTTAAATTTGCTAAATTTGCCATTTGAACATTGTGTTAGACACAGTTAAACGTTTTTAAACACCATTAGGGAATAGAAGTTTTGAATTAGTATGTTTTTGAAACCCAAAGATTAGTACAAAAAGCTTTGCTTTTCTTTTTAAATCTGCTGCTTATTTTGTGAGTCCATTATTGTATCTCTGATATATTTCATAGCTGTTTGTGAGCATTTTTTCATGTATTTTTTATTTTAGTTACAAAAGCCGTTTTTCAAACATTTAAATTAGAATCTGTTAAAAGTGATTAATGATTGTAGACTTCGTCTAAAAAAGAAAGAGAGAATTAGGCTGTAAAAGTATTATATTATTAAGTTAAACTACCCAATTCACCCAATTCACATTCAAGCAGTGACTTTTGTTTTTGTTTTGATTACACGCGTGACCTTGCTGCTGCTCAGAGACATGAGGAGGCAGCTCCGACGCACAATTGAGTTTTATTGAACCAAATCCAGTGTAGCTGGAGCTAAATCTTTTGTTTGATTTCAAGTTTTGTTTTAAATGTTTTTACAAATTAATGTTCATTTTTATAGAGATTTTTCATAATTTCATTTCATGGCGTCTTTCAAGAAACCCAAGGACGCATAGATAATTAATCACACAGTACAAAAGTATATAATACATGTTTTAAAGTTTAAAAGGTTGTTTGTTTTGAGTATAATTGTTGTTTTGATAACTTCTTTAGTTTCTGGTTTTAAAATGTCATCATTAGTAAGAGAATAAGTAATCTTTATTTACATAGCGCTTGGGAAAACCCAGAGCGCTCAAATTGTTTTGACCTCAGAGAGAAAAACAATCTCATTCGCATACTGATATCTATTGTTTTTTTAAATTGGCTGTTTCAAGGATTGTTTTTCAGACTCTGGCACACTGTGGGAGGGGTCACTGCTGGACACTGGACAGCGCAAAGCCCACCCAGCCACAGGTCACAGAGCTAAGAGCAAAGGGAAATGCCACCTCCTTGCCCCTCCCCACGCCACTGCAGAACTGAGTGGGTGTGAGAGAGACCGGGGCCATGAAAGAGAGGTATCTGGAGACGTGATGGGTGGAGCATCAGGTAGAGACCTAGAGGGAGTTGAGAGTGTGTCCAGTTGGTTTACATCACCACAGTGTGACCTTTGAGACCTGCAGGTGGTTCGTGGAGTCTGGAGAGACAACCCCAAAATTCATACACACACACACACATACACACTCATACACTCACACATTCACATTTACATATAGATACATGAAAAAGCAGAACATGAGAAAAAAAAGCATTTTAAAAGTTTACTCCAATGTAAACAAATATTTTTAATTGTCTATCACTTGAATCAGTATTTTTTGGGACCAGAAATGTTCATTTGAATTCTATATTGTCATGGACTTAATTGACGTCTGTCCTGACACTTTTGATGTTTTGATTTTGTACTGTGTGAAGTAATTACATTGATTACATCTGATAAAAACCCAAACCCAAATTAGAGAAGTAAACTGAATCATTGCGCTTGCTTTTGTCTAAGGGACATTAGCAACAGCATGAATAGAAATTGTGTTAAAGTAGAATCAAAGTGACTTAACCATAGAGAGTAACTATTGCATAACAAGCTGTGTACAGGAACTGAGACACTGCACCATTGACCAGAAGTGCATCGCAAATGACCTGATGTGCTTCAACTGAAAAGACTGTATCTGGAGATCCTGATGCATCTGGAGTGACCAAAACTATGGCTTGGACCCTACTGATGTCCAAGATGACCTGACCTGATGACGACTGAGACTCACCCTCAGAGGACCCTGAGGACCTGAGGATCTGAGGACCTGGGAGAGAAAACTGGGGAGTGATGTTTATATTTTTGAAATCATACATTGATGAGTGCTAAATGAGAGAGATACTCATGATTCTTTCTTTTGTTTTTGTTTGTCCCTAGCTTCTGGACATCTGATGATCTATTGGACACAGCCATTTGCAGAACAAGAACCAGCCAATGAAAACGTCTATTGCTGATGCTCTTGCTACAACCAGAACCTGTGACCAAATGCAATATAAATGGAAAGTATTCAGACATCTGACAGACAAAAACTTTGAC